GAGGATGATAAACATGATGATGCTGATGCTGATGTTTATGATGATGCTGCTACTGATGGCGATGATACTGATGATGACGACGAGGATGCTGATCCAAATGATGATGCTGATGATGATGACGACGACGATGATGACGATATTGATGCTCACGATGACGGCGATGCTGATGATGATGACGACGATGCCGACGATGCGTGTGATGATAGTGTTGATACTGATGATGCTGATGTTGATGATGATGATGATGATGATGATGATGATGACGATGCTGGTGATGATGATGCTGATGGGGATGATGATGACGATGATGATGCATATAATGATGGTACTGATGATGATGATGATGATGACGATGATGATGATGATGATGATGCTGATGATGATGCTGATGATGTTGCTGATGTTGCTGATGATGATGCTTGTGTTCATGTCGATGTTGCTGCTGATGATGATGATGATGTTGAAGATTATGATGATGATGATGAGGATGATGATGATGATGATGATGCTGATGATGATGATGATGATGATGATGATGTTGATGAGGATTACGATTTTGACGATGATGACGATGATGACGACGATGCTGATGAATGTGATGATGCTGATTATGTTGATGACGATGCTGATGATACTGATGATGATGATGATGTTGATGATGATGATGATGATGATGATAAGGTGGAGGAGGATGAGGAGGCTGACGGCTGACAATATTGATGATGATGATGTTGATGATGATGCTGCTGATGCTGATGCGGATGCTGATGAACATGATGCAGCTGGTGCTGATTCTGATGATGCTGATGATGCTGCTGCTGATGATGATGATGATGATGATGTTGATGATGCTGATGATTAGACTGATGAGGATGATAATGGTGAGGATGGACGGAGATGACGATGATGATGCTGATGGCAATGCTGATGTTGTCGGCAACGCTGCTGATGACGCTGATGCTGTCGATGCTGTTGCTGATAATGATGGTGCATCTGATGATGAGGATGACGATGATGATGATGATGATGATGATGATGCTGATGCTGCTGATGATGATGACGATGATGCTGTTGATGATGATGATAATGCTGATGAAGATAACGATGATGACGATGTTGACGATGATGCTGATGCTGCTGCTGCTGATGATGATGATGATGATGATGGTAATGATGCTGCTGATGATAATGCTGATGATAATACTCATGATGATGGTCCTTTTGCTGCTGATGATGATGGTGGTGATGATGATGGTGGTGGTCATGATGATGATAATGATGATGATGATGATGCTGATGATGATGATGATGATGATGATGATGATGATGATGATGATGTTGATAGTGATGCTGATGCTGATGCTGATGCTGATGCTGATGCTGGTGATGACGATACGTGAGGAGGATGGTGAGGAGGATGCTGTTGATGATGAGGAGGAGGACGAGGAGGAGGAGGAGGAGGAGGAGGAGGAGGAGGAGGAGGGGCAGGAGGAGGAGGAGGAGGAGGAGGAGGAGGAGGAGGAGGAGTACGAGGAGGACGACGAGAAATGCGGCCGTGTATCACGGCCTCTTCGAATTCTTCACGCTTCGCGTATCCCCACCAGCCCATCTCAAAACAGCAACTCTAGCGAAGCATGCCGACAGTCGTGTTTTTCAGGCGTGTATCCGCCTGCCCCCGCATATCTCCCCTGTTCCTCCTTCCTCCCGCCTCCTTGTACATCCTCCTTGTGGTGGGAGCGGGAGAAGGACGAGGCGGAGGAGGAGGGAGAGAAAGCGCTCCTCGTGGTTTGAGTCGTTTGGGGTTTCTCGTCCTGGTGTGAGTCGTTCGGGCCCTTCTTCCTGGTGTGAGTCGTTCGGGCTCTTCGTGGTGTGAGTCGTTCGGGCTCTTCGTCCTGGTGTGAGTCGTTCGGGCTTCTCGTGGTGTGAGTTGTTCGGGCCCCTCGTCCTGGTGTGAGTCGTTCGGGCCCCTCCTCCTGCCCGTCCAGAAACGACGCCCAGGCGAGTAGAGGGTCGTCCTGATGGGCTTTTCGGCGTCTTGGGTGCCTCGGGGGGGCCTCTTTGGGCCGTTTGGGATCCTCTTGGGGGCCTCCTGGGGGCCTCTTGGGGCCATCTTGGGGCCTCTTGGTGCCTCCTGGGCGCTTCTTGGGGCCATCTTGGAGGAAATCGATCAAAGAAGAGGGGAGCTTTAATTAGCGCTGCCCCCTTCACAAGGCCAAAATGGGGCCAAAACCTTAGTAAAATCAATGATTTTGGCTTGAAAGAAGAGGGGAGCTTTAATTAGCGCTGCCCCTTCAGAAGGCCAAAATGAGGCCAAAACCCTAGTAAAATCAATGAGATTTGGCTTCAAAGAAGAGGGGAACACTTTTCTTCCCCCCCCCGTCGGGGCCAGAATCCTCGTGAGGGGTGTCGTTTTTTAGCCCTCCCAGGAGTCGAAACAGACCCCCCCGGCCACCCGCGGAGGGACCTCTCCAGGCCCAGGGGGAGGGGGTAGGGGGAGGGGTAAACCCCTCCCCGAAGGGGAAGAAGGGGGGTTGAGAACAGAGAGAGCTCCCTAAACCACTCACGCCCAAAGGGCTGGTGGGATTTCCTTCTGGCATGTGCAGCAGGTGCACCTTCCCTGAACCGGGCCACCAGCGATAACAAACACTGGGTGCCAGAATACAAGTTCCTCCTGCTGTTTCTCTTCTTATTGTTCAGCTGTAAAGCCCCTGATGATGCCCGCCAGGTCCTCACTTCCCATTGTGCTACTTCGCAGCGGGGCGAACAGGAACGGGAGTCTACGCAAGAGGCAGTGAGGAACAGCTGAGAGGGAAGAAAGCTCCAGATCCTCCATCACGGCATTGGTATTCTTGCAGAGAACGTTCTGTGGGCCGAAGGATTACCAGGGTGCTGCAAGACACCCGAATCTTTCTGATGGCTGCGAACAGTGTGAGGATCCACCCCCGAGCACCATCACTCCTCCTTGATTTCCTCTTCCGCCTGATCCGTTTCCTCGTCCACCTCCGTCCTCCTCTCCGTCGTTGTCCTCTGCTCCTCGTCGTCGTCGTCGTCATCATTATCAGCAGCAGCAGCATACTCTTTATCACCGCCATCATCATCACCATCATCATCATCATCATCATCATCATCATCATAATCATCATCATCATCATCATCATCACCATCATTACCATCACCACCATCATCATACCAGCAGCAGCAGTGATCATCATCACCATCATCATCACAACCATCACCATCACCATCATCATCATCGTCGTCGTCGTCGTCATCATCATCATCCCCATGCTCCTCCCCCTCCCACTCCCTATCCCCGCTCCTCACCCTCTTGTTTTCTCTTCCACCTCTTCCAACCCCTGCTCCCTTCCCTCCCTCTCCCCCCGTCCTTCCTCCCCCTCTCCCCCCTCCCTGCCCCCACCTCCCCCCCCCTTCCGCGCCTTGCCCGCCTTCATCTCCCCGTTCACCCTCCCCTTCCCCTCCCCTCAGTCCCCCCGCCACCCTTCCCTTGACTCCAATTGACTTCCGGCCTGGTGCCATGGGACTGATCACAAGCCTCTTGCGCGCGCTGTCCTGTAGCACAGGCCACTTGCACGCGAGCCCGAGCACAAACCACTTGCCACTCCTGAATCTGCTGTTTCCTGGAGGGTACGAAGAGCGGCCTACTGCTGCCATGGTTCGGATGTTACTTGTTGGCTCCAGATGGCTATCCATCTTCACGTAACCTCTTCTTCCTCCTCTTCCTCCTCCTCCTCCCTTTCCTTCCGTGAGGGTGTGGCCTCGGATGTACAGAGCAGCCCCGTGCCTTCTGATTAGCATATTGGTGCCTGAAAGGCCAGCGTCCCACAAGGACGCTAACCGTACTTGTGCCACCCGTGAAATGAGGCGCAGGAGAGACTCAAGTGCGAGAACCAGGCTGCGACCGTCAGTGAGATCCTCCCCTTCTGCCTCCCCGTTTTTCTCTTTTGAGGAACGAGGGGCGACAGGGAGTGGAGTGGATTGGGAGGTGGAGGTCTCTTGAGGGAGGCGTGATGTGGTCCCTTTCTGGCAGCTCGTTGCTACGGTCTTGGAACCGCTTTCGTGAACATAGCGGTGCGACTGGCCCGTCACGGATTGGGGGCCAGAAGGGCTCAGATGCTCTGGGAGGGGCGGCCATTCGCCATCGCTCGGACATCCACTCCCCCTGCGCTTCTCGATATCGTGCGTGCTTTTTTTGCCAAATGATCCAGGAGTCTCCTCGACGGTCCTCGCAGAGAAAGATGCACACGTCGGAGCGACGCCGAGGCCATGAAGTCCAGGAGATGTCATGGCCCCGGCAAGGATGCCCTCCCCCAGAACTTCCACTCCCCCAGGCGCCTTCGGAGCTTCTCAGATCTCCTCCAGGGCTTTCCTATGGAGTTCGGCGGACTTGCGGGTCCTTCCGATGCCCGGGCCTACTCGAGGGCGAAGGCCGGGGGCGCGGTCGGCATGCGGGGGCGGGGGGGGGGCGGCCATGTGAGGCCACTGCCAGGAGGTGAGGACGGGAAGAACATTGAGAGGGCTTACGTACCACTGGAGGCGAGGAGAGGAAGAGCACGGAGGAGGGAGTGTCTGCTTACGTACCGTTGGAGACGAGAACAACGAGGAGGGAGGGAGGGCTTAAGTACCACTGGAGGCAAGGAGGGGGAGAACATGCTTACGTACCATCCTTCTGGCCAGGGGGGAGGCATCCTCGAACGTGCTCGGACGCGCGTCTGGCAGGGCTACGCCGAGGCGGAGTCCGTTCCAGAGTGTTCCGTAGCGCTCTCAGAGCTTTTTGGAACCCTCTGAGAGGGCCGCGGCGGACGATACACCCTCCAGAGCCTTCGGACCTCAGAGACTCTCGATGTATCCTCACCCGACTTTCTCCTCGTCCTGGCTTCGCCTCAGCGTGTCCCCAGGGTCCGGGCGGCCGCAACCCTTCCACGGCCTGCGGCGGGCAGGGGTGCGCAGGCCCTGCTGCTCCTCCTCCTCCTCCTCCTCCTCCTCCTCCTCCTCCTCCTCCTCCCGGCTCGAGGCGTTTTGCTTCTCTTGCTCGCGGGGCGGCGCGGGCGGCGGCGCCAGCGGCACGGGCGAGGGGCCGTTGCCCCCGCCGCCTTCGCCCCGGCGGCGCCGCGCGCCTGGCTGGTCAGCGGGCCCCCTGCCTGGGCTGGCAATGGACGACCCGTTCAAGAACGTCCCGGTCCGGGTGTCCCGGGAGGACGGCGCGGTCGGGGAGGACGGGCGGAAGGAGGAGTTCGACATGCTGGTCGAGAGGGAGGTGGACGTCGGCAAGATCAAGTCCAGGATCGAGATGGAGTTCGACGTGGTGCCGGCGGAGCAGCTGGTCCTCTTCCGCGGCCGGCCAGTGGACGACGAGAACGACGCCAACCAGCCTCTGTGCTCGCCGGACCTCGAGGACATCATCGAGGCAGCCGTGGAGGGGCACAGCAAGGCCCTGCAGATGGCCATCCTCCGGAGGCCCTTCCTGGTGCCGCCCTTCCTGAGGAAGCACGGGTTCGAGCACGTGAACGCGTGCAGGAAGACCGGCGCCACGGTCCTACACCACGCCGTGCGCAGGTGCAGCATCCGCGTCGTGAAGGAGCTGCTGGGGGACCAGCAATTCCTCAACGTGGACGGCTGCGACCGCTCTGGGCAGACAGCGCTGCACGCCGCGTGCGCGTGCCGCTTCCGGGAGGTGTGCCTGGCGATCCTGGACGCGAAGAACGAAAACGGATACAACAAATTCGTTGCCGTCAGCAAGGCAGACTCGGAGAAGAAGACCGCGCTGCACTTTGCTGCCCTCTGGGGCGACGCCCCGGTCTGCAGGGCCATAATGGGCCACCCAGAGTTCGGGCCACAGCATGCCGGCCTCGTCGACATCTGCGGGTGCACGGCGCTCGACTACGCCGTCGAGGGCGGGCACGCGGAGGTGGCCGAGGAAATCTCCGCGTTCTCCCCCGAGGAAGCGGCCGACCGCGAGAAGCGGGTCGCCGCCCGGGAGGCCAGGCTCGAGGCGGAGCGCGAGGCCACCAGGCTGGCCAGGGCGGAGCGGGAGGCGGAGGAGAGGGAGGATCGGGGAGACAAATCATACCCATCGATCGTTGGAAGTAGGTATTTCTGGATTCTCAGAACCCAATATACTTCAAGCGCCTTCCTGCTTTAAGCATCGACATGATTTGGCTGATGGTTGTTATTCTTTGGGCGGGCCCGAACCCAATCTATTGTATCCGCGTTCCTACTTCATGTTTTGACCTTCTTCTTCCGACCGTCTAGCATCCGCATCCGCGGCCCTGTGGGCAGGGCCCCCTGGGCCGCGACCCCGCGGACACGGGGAGTTTGCCTCCGCGGATGCCTTGCGCGGGGCGCAACCGTGCCGCTCAGCGGATTATCCGCGGGACCGCGCCCCAGAATCCAGACCGCGAGGGCGCGGATACGACGGAAGGAGGAGGAGGACGAGGAGGACGAGGAGGAGGAGGAGCAGGAGCAGGAGGAGGAGGAGGAGGAGGAGCCCTCGCGAAGGAGGCGGCCCTGGCCGAACGCGCCGCGGCCGAACGTGCCGAGCTGGCGGCGTGTGAGGCGGCCGCCGCGGAGGCCGCCGGCCCCCACGGCGCTACAGGGGCGCCGGGCGCAGGGCGCGCCGAGCCGGCGCCCGCGGAGGCCGCGGGGCTGGCGGCCGCCGGCGCGCTGGCGGCGCGGGAGGCGGCTGCCGCGGATGCCGCGGGGCCCGAGGGCGCTCCAGAGGCTGAGGTCGCTGGGCCCGAGGGCGCTGGGCCCGAGGGCGCTGGGCCCGAGGCCGCAGGTCCGTGTGTTCGAAATGGGCACGAAACAGTGGGTACGAAGACCGACAGCAGTTTTTGTTCATTTGAGACTCGTCGCGGGCCTGATCCACTCGAGACCAAAAGTCGCCTGCTCCATGCGGGCCGATGTCGGATTTGGACGACATTTGCTGGTGGGCACTGTGCCCATTGTTTCCTTGCGTGCCCACTTCGGGCGTCTATGGCAGGGGCCGCCGCCGCCAGAGGCGGCGCCGAGCCGCCCGCCGGCTCCGAAGGGCCGGCCGCCGACGGCTGAGCCGCCCGCTCCGGGCTCAGGGGCAATGTTCGGGGGGGATTGCCAAGCAGCGGCGAAGCGTCCTGTTGTGCCCAGAGGCCCCCCAAAGAATGTTCTAAGAACTTTTTGTTGTCTGCACGGAATGATCTAAGAACATTTCTTGCAGAGATTGTCTTGTTTGACACGTCGGCTCTATGTTCTAAGAACTCTGTTTTTTATTATTCGAGCATTTGTGAATTCTAAGGCCATGTCGTGGTATGCCTATAGGAATGCCAGGGGATTGGCTCAGGTCTGAGGATCTAGGCCTCCTAGTTGGGGCCCGAGCAGCCGCATCGCCGATGCGTCGGCGATGCGGCTCGACGTGGAGCCCGATTTGCTTCATGGCGACGTCGGCGATGCATCGCCGACGTCGACGATGCATCGCCGGTGCATCACCGATGCGTCGCCGATGCATCGCCGATGCATCGGCGATGTGGCGCGATCCTCCGACCCCATCTACTCCGAACCCATCTAGGAGACCTCTAAATGACGCGTGCCTTCATCTAGAGGGTATCCTTGTGTCCTTGCCTCTGCGGCCCGTCCTTTGTGCCGTTTTCACTGGTCGCCCGCCGCCCCCAGTACCCCAACTTCGGCCTCCAAGGGTCTTGCGTCCTTACCACCCGTCCTCAATACACGTTATGACTGTAGGAGGGTCGGTGGATCGCGTCGCAGCGCCGATGCATCGGGGATGCAAGTCGATGTTGAGCCCGACTTTCTCCACGCCTGCGTCGCAGATACATCGCCGATATCGCCGATTCATCGTCGATGCATCGGCGATAGATCGGCGATGCGGCGCGACCCTCCGACCCCATAGTTGGGAGGCCTATCAGGGGAGGTGCTGCATCAACCCCAAATTACGCATTGATCGCCAATAGGGGCCCAATAGCCCACCCCGCCCAGGAACGCGCGGACTCGCTATTGGGGGCCTGTTGCCGATGTATCGGTGATGTATCGCCAATTCCGTGTCGATGCCCCCCCCTTTGCAACAGCTCCCCCCCCGTTCGTTGCCCGTCAGCCCCTCCACGCTGTTCGTCGCGTGGGCGGGGAGCCAAAAGGTCTTCAGACACTCGTCGAGCTTTGCGTCTCTCTCGCCTGCCTGGTGTCGGCCTCGGAGGGCGGTGGGCTCGTGGGGGACGTCTCTCGGAGATAGCTGAGCTCCCAGGCCTCCGCAAACGGACCCAGGAACGCCGCAGCGGGCGGATCTTCCTGCAGTCCTGTCGATTCGCCTTCCTGGTTGACCAGGGCCGCCTGTCCCGCTCTCCCTTGAGCTCGCCACGGTGGCCGCGGCGGTGGCGGTGAGCGGTGCAAGGGTTGGCAGCCCTGCTCGCCCCGCAGGCCTGCGTTCCGCAGAGGACCTCTATGCAGCACCATGCCTGGCCAGGACCACCCTTGGCCCGAGGAGGCTGGCCAGCGTGGGCCCCAAGCAGTGCGTGATGGCAGTGCGGAGGCAGCGGTTGTGCGGGCGGAGTCGTGTGGTGAACGCTGTGTAGTGTAAGCCATGTGGTGTGAGCTATGGGGGTGAACGCTATGCGGAGTAAGCTATGTCGTGTAGGGTGTAGGCTGGGCGGTGTGAACTCAGGGTGAAAGCTATGGGGTGTAGACCACTTCGACTGTCTTGAAGCTGTCCTCTCCACTGCTCGTGCAAACATCCCACCCTCCCACCCGCAACTTGGTCGCAAGACATCTTCAGACAAGACCGTGACGGTAGGTACTGCGTGGCACTTGGCCACGACACCGATGCCGACGACGACAGCGACATCGACGACGACGGCGCCGCCGACAGCGACTGCGACGACACCGACGACGTCTCCAATGTTTTCGACGACGACAACGACGACGACACCGACGACTGCGACGACACCGACGACGACAACGACGCCGACGACGACGACGAAGACGACGACGACGTCGCCAACGGAGACGACGACGAGGGAGAAACAACGACGACGGCGACAACGACGACAACGACGATGGAGGAGGGAAGACGGCGACGACGCCAACGACGAAGAAGGAGGAAGGACGGCGACGCCGACGACGACAACGACGAGGGAGGAGGGAAGACGACGACGATGACAACGACGACGAAGACGACGACGACGGCGACGAAATAGGAGGGACGACGACGAGACGCCGACGACGGACGACGACGACGAGGGAGGAGGATAACGACGAGGGAGGAGTGAAGACCACGACGACGACGACGACGACGACGACGGCGACGAAATAGGAGGGACAACGACGAGACGCCGACGAAGACAACGAGGGAGGAAGGACGACCACGGTGACAACGACGACGGAAACGACGACGACGCCAAAGACGACGAGGAAAGACAGAAGACGACGACGGCGACGACGACGACGACGACGACTGAGGGAGGAGGGATGACGACGACGACGACGACGACGACGACGCAAGAGCGCGCGCGCACAATTTTGTTGAAAACCCGTGTTGCGAAACCTTGTGTTTTTGTACGTTTTTTGGACGCGCGATTTCGAAATTCTTCCGAAACCGAAGGTTTTTGAAGGATTTCGGCATACGCCCGCGACGACGCGCGCGTCTGCACTTCGTCCCATTTTTTGCAGAGGATTCTCGCGACGGCACACGCGCAAGAGCGTTCGACAGATTTCGACATGCGCGCGCGCGAAGCCCGTTTGGTAGCATTTTGTGGAAATCTTGGAAAACCTATGGTTTTCTCAAGATTTCGCAAGAGCTCGCGCGTAAGTTTTTTTTGTTGTAAACAAAAAAATCAGTGTTGCGAAACCATGTGTTTTTTATATGTTTTTTTGGAAATTCAATTTTGAAATCTCTCCGGAACTGAAGGTTTTTGAAGGATTTCGGTATGCGCGCGCAACGACGCGCGCGTGTGCACTTCGTCCCATTTTTTTGCAAGGCATTCGTGAACAAGTGTTATGTTGGAACAAAAAATGTCACCGCATATTTTTTTACCAGGGAGCCGCAGGGGGGGGAACCCGGCTTGGCTGGGATGGTATTAATTCATATTTAGGATGGACATGTGGTCAGAATCATATGTAATTTACAGCACGCGCGGGGGAACCGATAAGTCCGGGGGGGGGGGTAGAATCTATTAGTCTTTTAGAAAGGAGATTATATGTGATCTATGTTGTGTACTCCATGTGGTGTAAGCTATGTGTTGTAAGCTATGTGGGGAAAGCTATCGAGTGTAAGGTCAGAGCACGGGGCACCCACGAGGCGGCCACGAGGCGACACGGGTGGCAGCGTGGCGCAACCTCGGGAAAGCCCCCGAGCGCGGGGCGCCCGCGAGGCGCCCACGATGCGCCCACGAGGCGCCCACGAGATGCCCACCAGATGCCCACGAGGCGGCACGGGCGGCAATGTGGCGCAACCTCGGCATACCCCCCAAGTGCGGGGCGCCCACGGGGCGCCACGGGCGGCAACGTGGCGCAGCCTCGTTACACCCCCCAGGTGCGGGGCCCCACGAGGCGGCACGGGTGGCAACGTTGTGGAAACCCGCAATACCCATCCAGTTCCTTCAGGACACACCACGATGCTGCCACAGGCGGCAACGTGGCGAAACCTCGCCAGACCGACCCAGCGCACGAGGCGGCCACGAGGCGGCCACGGGCGGCAACGTGGCGAAACTTCGCCAGACCGACCCAGCGCACGAGGCAGCCACGAGGCGACCAATGTCGGCAACGTGGCGAGATCTCTCCGGACCCACCCAGCGCACGAGGCGGCCACGAGGCGGCCACGTGCGTCGCCGGCGCGAAAACTCGCCAGACCATCCAATTCCTTATTGACCCAAGAAAGACCCCCAGTGCAAGCCCTGTTCAGTGAATTGTGTACGGATGTGTAGACCTTTCTGACTCCCGCCAGGAATGTGCATACACCATGGCCAGATACCCGTCGGTCGTTGAAGGTAGATATTCTTGGACCCTGATATTTCAACCTACACTAAGTGCCTTCCTACTTCAATGCTCGAGTGGTCTCCCCTTTTCCTTCCTCTTTAGGGGGCAGGCGGACGCCCAATCTGCTTCCAACGCCCTCCTACTTCATATTGCGAAGGCCTTACGAAGACGACGAAGGGGGAGCAGGAGGAGGAGGAGGCAGAGGAGGTGCTCCCCCCCCCCTCCCGGGGGAGGGGATAAAAGGGAAGGGGCTTCCCTTCGAGTAACCACGACGTTGCTCAGATTGGCTTCCCCCCGTGTCGCGGCCGCTCCCCTCCCCCGAAGGGAGCTGCCCGGGTGCTCCCCCCCCCGGGTATCCTGGTGGGACCCCCCCTCTCTCCCCCCCTGGGGGAGGGGATAAAAGGGAAGGGGCTTCCCTTCGAGTAACTACGACGTTGCTCAGATTGGCTTCCCCCTGTGTCGCGGCCGCTCCCCTCGCCCGGGGGGACCTGCCCTGGTGCTCCCCCCCCCCAGGTATCCGGGTGGGACCCCCCGCCCGGGGGAGGGGATAAAAGGGAAGGGGCTTCCCTTCGAGTCGACGTTGCTCAGATTGGCTTCCCCCCGCGTTGCGGCCGCTCCCCTCCCCCGAAGGGAGCTGCCTTGGTGCTCCCCCCCCCCGGGTATCCTGGTGGGACCCCCCCTCTCCCCCCCCAGGGAGGGGATAAAAGGGAAGGGGTTTCCCGAGGGGAGCCGACCACCCCTCTTGGAGCCGACGTGACGATCACGACGACCCACGCAAGATGACGAGATCAGGATACGTCTTCCATTTCCCCTTTTCCTTCCTCTTTAAGGGGGCGGGCGGACGCCCAATCTACTTCCAACGCCCTCCTACTTCATATTTCTACCCACTTCTTCCGACCGACGGGCAGACCCACTCAGACACGTCGATTAGTGAATTGTCCGTTTTCGGTTCTCGAGAGGGCGCCGCGGCCGTCATTTTCCAGGCTTGCGCCCGCCAGGTTTGGGCCCGAGGTCGCTTTCACTAAACGACGTTTTGCTAAAGGGGGTCTGTCCATCCCCGGTGGTGGTGGTGGTGGTGGTGTGAGAGGTGCCTTCTGCGTGACAGGTGGTGTGGTGGTGGTGGGGGTGGTGGTGGTGGTGTGGTGGGGTGGTGGTGGTGGTGGTGGGGTGGTGGGGTATGGTGGTGGTGGTGGTGGTGGCGGTGGTGGTGTGACAGGTGCCCTCTGCGTAGGTCAGCCTGCCTGCTCGGCCCGCAGTGCCTGCACCTCCCTGGGCCCTCCCCCCTAGCTGCGCTCCGCTGGGCCGGGCGAGGCAGCAGCCGAGGAAGCCACCAACGAAGCGCAGGCTGGGCGCCGTCTCCACTCGAGGAGCGAGGAGGAGGAAGACGAGGACGAGGACGAGGACGAGGAGGAGGAGGAGGAGGAGGAGGAGGAGGAGGAGGAGGAGGAGGAGGAGGAGGAGGATGAGACAGGAAGGAGAAGGGGAGAGAGGGAGGAGAGGAGAGAGGGAGGAGCGAGCGGGGGAGGGAGGAGGGAGGGAGGGAGAGGGAGAGGAGGGAGGAGGAAGATGCGGATGCGGGAAGCACAGGGGATGTACGCTGGCGCACAGACCGCCGTTGCATGCGCAGGAGGAGGAGGAGGAGGAGGAGGAGGAGGAGGAGGAGGAGGAGGAGGAGGAGGAGCAGACAGGAGGAGGAGAGGGGGAGATGGAGGAGAGGAGCGAGGGAGGAGCGAGCGGGGGAGGGAGGGAGGGAGGGGGAGAGAGCGAGGAGGAAGATGCGGATGCGGGACGCACAGGGGATGTGCGCTGGCGCGCAGATCGCCGTTGCATGCGCAGGAGGAGGAGGAGGAGGAGGAGGAGGAGGAGGAGGAGGAGGAGGAGGACCAGTCTAAACACAATATTCATCAACGATATTTCAATGAAACCTCCCTCAAGGCTCCATCTACACAGGCACCTACAAGGGTTTATCTCTACAGAGGAAAGTGCCCCGTTGGAAGACAACCGTTTGAACATCCTGAACTTTGCCAGAGCACCACTCCTGGGACTTCAACGCCACGAATCACCCTTATTGTTGCGTCTTGACGATCCTGAATCCTTGCAGAACACCATTCCTGGAGTTCCAACACCACGGATTAATTGTTGCGCCCTGACAGTCCTGCATC